CATGCAGTTCCAGAGCCGCAGGTTGCTGACTCCTGGCATAAAGGCTGAAGTTCAGAAGTGAACAATTACCAAAAAGTAACAAGGGATTTATCCAGGGGTGAAATCCAGCAGGTTCTGACAGGTTCTGGAGAACCAGTAGCGGAAATTTTGAGCAGTTCGGAGAACTGGCAAATACCACCTCTGGCTGGCCCCAGAGTGGGCTGGGAATGGAGATTTTGCAATATCCTTCCCCTGCCATGCCCACTAAGCCAAGCCAAGCCACGCCCACCAAGCCACGCCCACAGAACCGGTAGTAAAAAAATTGGATTTCACCACTGGATTTATCCCAAGATGAGCAGCATTCTCTTATGAAGTAAGAGGCAACAATAAAACATTTATTTATTTTATTTCTATCAAATTTAGGCACTACCATCTCATCCTCAGAATGACTGAGCAGTTTAGAGCTAAAAGCATTGTTTTTTTTTTTAAAAAAGAAAAACTCTATGAGCCCCACTGAGTTGGCAGAACCAAATCTTCACATTTTTCCAAAAAGCCAGGAGGTAACAGGTAATCCTCAGGTAATCTGGTTCCATGCCACATAGGATTTTACAGGTAATAGCCAACACCTTGATTTGGACCTGGAAGCAGCTCATACCGCAAAGGTGTTACAACATACACTTTTATCAAAACATCCATCAGACATAAATCATTGATTTTTTTTTTTGTCTTTTAATGAACCTGTAATCCTTTGCATAGGGGTGGAATCGGGGCAACTGAATGGAGCTGCGTGTTTACTGGCTAGATGCCCTTCCTGTCACCAATGCAGAGTTTGCAGCTGATATTTACTCATTGTGCCCAGAGAGAGAAATATCTGCCGCTACCTAAGATCAAACTTATAAATCATGGAATGCCAATCAAGAATGAGGAAGAATAAGAAATAAGAAAACTCATTCATCTGAAACACCCCTGGGAATTACACAGATATTAGAGATGGTCTCCCTCATCTTAGGAAATACTCTGCTCCTAGAGGTATGCTTGCCATTTTGCCCTACCTGCCATTTTGTTCAGTGGCCTCTGGACATGAATGAATATTGCGAGTGACCAGTTCACTTCATGTATTATATTCCATGCAGCATTTATTGTGTGTTTGTAATGATTTCTCTGTTGCATTAATGAATAGTTCCAGAGATGTTTTAATTTGATTGTTCATAAAAGGCAATACTACCCCAATTTATTTCCACTTGTGCTGACTTGAACACGGATGATTGCAGATGTCTTTAATTGTGATTAAAATGAAAAGAAAATGTCCAAATTGCTCTCCACTTTCAGGTATCTAATATCTGTTTATGATTAAATGTGGTGGATGGACAATTCATGCAAGACTTGAATATAGGTCAAAAGATTATATTACTCTAATGTAGTTCATACATATCTATCCTGAGATCCAAGCCCACCTCTGTAGTCCTTTTGGTGATCAGAATAGCTCAGTTTTCCCTACAGCCATCCACAGTCTGATCATTGAGCAATATATCCAAAGGCAATAACTTTGTATCATGCAGAATGAATTAAATGAGAAGATACCCACCCTGGGACTGACCACATCTGGTAATTCAGATAGCTTAGATAGGCACACCAACCTAACTAAGTAATTAGCAGATGATTTGAGTAAACTTGTTGACACCTCCTTCCCATTAGATGTGTTGGACATCAGATTGGAAAAGGCTGGGATAGAAATAGAATCTATGTAAATATGAATGTTATGGATGATATTGATACTGATATGGAAATGCTGTAATGAGTGAAAATTTGTGTTTTGTTTTTTAAATGTTGAAAAAGTTTAATAAAAAATCTTTTTTTTTTTTTTAAAAAAAAAGGAAAAGGCTGGGATGAAAATATCTTAGAAAGAAACTTATTTTTCCAAAAGCCTGCTCAGGCTTATCGAGGTCTGTATCTGTCTATATTATATCTATATCTAGTTTGGAATTCCAGGTAGAAAAATAAATTTTATTTGATGTCTTTACACTGATAAATGCTACAGCATAGCTTTCTGAGCTATTAAGCATTGACAGCTCTTTTCAAGATGCCAGAGAATTAGCAGAAACATATTAGGCATTGTTAATAACAGTTATGCAATTTCTGTGCCAGACAGCATGGCTTATGAATGATTCAGGTCTATGAAAGATACACCAAGTGATTCATCTTCTCTTATCAACAAGATTAATTCCTACCTTTATAAAAGCCAACTTCCATTTATCTAACTAAGGAAACCATAATACACTAATTTTTTCCATAGTCTCCAACTGTCTTGTCCAAATTTTCTTAAGGAGGAAAAGCATACAGGAATTTTTGTTTTTTTTAAATGTCTTCCTTATCGCATGACACCATGGATTCAATATATGTCAAAAGTATGGAGAAAATTAAACTCAGTCCTCCTTTACTGTCGTAGAAATTTACTCAGCCCAAAGGAGATGTATTAATCAACAGTTATTTGTTCCGTTGTATTCCGATCACCCATGCAGTAGGATAAAACAAAAACAAAAATTGTCATTAAGATGACAGAGACAGAGATGCTTTCACCTAATAAAGCAGTCTTCACTTTCATTTAAAACAGGTAATTATATGCTCAGCTCTGTTTCTCTTGAGAAGACACTTTAAAAAACTGAGTAGCACATCTGAACCACAGGTGGGTTCTACTTACCTTTACTACTGGTTTGTAATGGGGCTGCGCGTGCGCACTCGCTTTGCAGCACACACTCTTCTGCACATGTGCAGAAGCGTTCTGATGACGTTGGGGTCAGTGGGCGGAGCCTCCTGCCAGTTTTACTACCGGTTCTATAGAACCGGTGCGAACCGGGGGCAATCCACCACTGATCTGAACCAATCAGGGGTGGGTTCTACTTACCTTTACTACTGGTTCGCAATGGGACCATGCGCACAGAAGCTTCTGTGCATGCGCAGATCATCCATTATGACATCCGGGCAGGTGGGCGGAGCCTCCCGCCATTTTTACTACTGGTTCACAAGCAACCCACCACTGGAACCAATGCTTTCTCCAGAAACCATTGCTGATGATGGTATTAATGAAAGTAGTAATACATATTTAGATTGATATACCTTCTGGTTTCATGCCATCAAATTTGTAAAGGGTGACAGAAGTAAATGTTCACTAAAGCTACTGAATGACTGATGTAACATCTGTTTTAGTCCTACCCCGCAGTCTGGATTCCAATTATCCAAATATATTTTTTGCTTGCAAAAGAAGCTTCAGGCTTTTTTTTTTTTTTACATCTGTCTCAAGATGTTTGACAATTACTTTGAATTTCATACTTCAACCACCTAACTGCTAATGCTTCCTCCACTGAAAAAAATCTCATGGGTGGAGTTTCTCCCAAGCAATTGTCTTGGGATTTAATGACCCAATTTACAAGTAGAGACCATGCAAGTGATACAAGTATATGTCACTTTGTGCTGGGGAGAGACCACAAGGTTTGGCCTGCTGAAGGTCAGTACAAACAACTTTTATAACAGGAGTGTCCAACCTGGGCAACTTTAAGACATGCTGGCTGGAGAATTCTGGGAGCTGAAGTCCACAGGTTTTAAAGATGCCAAGGACAGACACCCCTGCTTTATAGAGTCATGTCAAAGGCAAATTACAACATGGGTTAGATTTTCTGCTTGTAGTACGATACAAGTCCAGATTTAAGATAACTCATGAGCCAGTATCTACAAATGCCCAAGCAACCTATTATGTGGAAGACTCTTGAGAGTCCCTTGGACTGCAAGGAGATCAATTCAGTCAATCCTAAAGGAAATCAACCCTGATTGTTCTTTGGAAGGATAGATACTTGAAGCTAAAACTCAAACACTTTGGCCACTTAATGAGAAGAGAGGACTCACTGGAAAAGATCCTGATGTTGGGAAAGATGGAAGGCCAAAGAAGGGGACAGAAGAGAATGAGATAGTTAGGGTCATCGACACAACAAACATGAATTTGTGCAAACTCCAAGAGAATAGGGAGGCCTGGCAAATCTGGAGATTTGAGTTCAGGGTGATCGTTTTACTCATTTAGCTATAGACAATCGAACAATTATTGTATAATAAAGGCCAGCAAATGGATATACATACATGACAATAAACTTTTAACAAACAATCGGAATAAGAATCCTCCACCCAAACCTTGAAAGTTTTATTCTATGAATTTTATTCTGCCTTGAGATAGATCCACCACAATAGTTTAGAGACAGAATTCTGTAAATTTTCACAGAACTACAGCTACGGCCACGAGCAAGCAGAAGTGGGCCGGCAGCCACATGGGCTCCTGCTGCACATTGTTGCTGGTACTGCCACCCCCATGGCAGGTGTCCGGGCATGGATGGCCTGGTTGTGGGGGACCCTGAGGTAAACCGGTGTGGGGCCTGTGGGGCAGATCCACCACCACTCCACCTTGCCTCATGGATGCGGCATCGCGAGCAACCAGACGGAATGGGCTGAATAAGTAGGGCTTATTTTGGGGGTAGGGCTTATATTAGTTGCATGCATAAAAATGTGCTAGGTCTTATTTTTGGGATAGATCTTATTTTCAGGAAAACACTGTAGATTAATTTCTATATATTGCCAGATTAAAAAGTCCAAAAATGATGCCTATATTTTTTTTTAAAAAAAAAAATACAGGCAAGGCTCTTTTCAACAGAAAAAAGCTTGAAAACGTCTCAATACAATAAACAATAAGTGTTCTTTACAATAAAGAACAAAAAATTTACGTAGTACTACCAAATTATCCTCTAATAGTACTGCTCTACTTCTTGTAGCTTGTGGCATTCTAAATTTAGGATTCTCCACAAAGAGTAGATCTTTGGCAAACTTCAATTCCTAAGAATTAAAAGGCATTGTGTGTGTACATTTAACTCACAACAAATTATTTCCAAATGCCACTGATTTTGAATTTTTTATTATTTCCTGAAATTATGTCCTGCTCTTCTGATGGATGTGTTATGTTGTATTTCATTACTTTTTCTCCTTACCTTGTTCTTCTCTTCTTTCAGATAAATGATGATGCTTTCAGAAAAGATTAAGCACAAGCAGGCGATAAAGCAATGGTCCAAACACAGTTTTAATTGGAACGTCAAATCCTATAAGGAAAGAAAAAAATTTAAATCATTAATAATGTGACTCTTCTTTAATCTGCCGAAACAATAGAAAATCCATAGATTTGGGGTTTTTAAGCACCCTTTTCTGGTTTTTGATCATATACATTGATCATCTGTAGTTCTGCAACATTGCAAAGACACATTCAGATCTCGCCTTTGGAGATTCAAATTCCAAGTAGCTTAATTAAAATTAATTTCTAGGGATCAGAGAGTTTTTTTAACCAGACTTCCAGCAAGGATCCAATTTGCTACAGTAACACATCTACTGCAAAATTTTACATTGATTTTAAAGTAAACACAATATGGAGATTAGAATAGAGAGGTTAACAGCAATGAGTGAACTGGAATAGGACATCCTATTTTCCTGGGGTTTTTTTTGCTCGTTTCCATATTTATCTCTTAAATATTTTTTTCTAAGGATTAAAGAAAGAGAAGTGCAATTAAACATTAAACCAGACAAATAGCCCAACCCAAAACAATCTCTTAAGCAAGACAAATCAAGCAAAACAGGGCCACAAAATGCAATTATACATTATTGCAAGGGGTGTCAAACTTGCAATGACACTGTTGATAATTAAGGAAATAGAACCAACAAAATATGAGAAAGAATTGATTAGAATTATGATTATAATGGGTAGAATTATAATAGCCAGATATTGGAAATTAGATGTGAATTTTAGAATAGAAGAATGGTATTGTGAAATGTGGAAATTAGCTTTAAATGATAAAATGACATGTGATATTAAAATTAGAAATGGTGACTATAAAGAAGACATTTTCTGGAAAATTTGGAAACCATTTGTGGACTATGCGCTGGGAAAATTGGATGCTTCGGTACCTGTACCCCGAGAACCGTGGATTTTGGCGATCATGAGGATATATCCGAAGAACCAAATCTTCCTTTCTTATGTATAGCACAGGGTGAAATATTGTATATGTTGTTTGTAATGTTAGTAATTTAAAATATAAAATGAATAAAAAAATTAAAAAAAAAACAAAAAAAAAACAAATAGCCCAACCCAAAACAATCTCTTAAGCAAGACAAATCAAGCAAAACAGGGCCACAAATGCAATTATACATTATTGCAAGGGGTGTCAAACTTGCAATGACATGTTGTCATCACATGACATATCACAACTTTCCCTTTTTAAAACGGACGTGGGCATGGCCAGCACGTGACACATCCAGCCTGAAGGCCGCATGTTTGACACCCCTGCTTTATTGCATTAACTCTACACCTGAGACCAAAGTCAGGTTCAATTGTCAGTGTAGACCCACAAAAATGGTTTAATTCTGTGCTTATGTTAAGCATGCCGTATGAGTGTAGCAAATGTTTCCTCTCTGGGATTGAATGAAAATGTGTACAGCTACAGAAGCTGCAAACTGCTGGAAGGGTTATTACACAATGAAAGACAAGACATTCTCACTTACGTGAGCAATGACACTTGCATTCAGGAAACCAAGTAAATAAGTGCAAAAACACGACTCTCTACCTATGAGAATATATCTGAAAATAATCTCTCGTTAGAAATTTCAAAACCTGCCACTCAACAAATTTGTTGTGTTTTTATAATGACGATGTTAATGTTTTCATGTTATAAGGTGACCAGAGTCATTGGATACAAGATGGATGGCAAATAAATTTTATAAACAAACAAACTGAAAAATGCAGAAGGGATTATTTTTTTGTATAACATCCTATCTCTTTCTATTACTAGTACTTCCTGGAATGACCATGTAAATATATTTCACAGCAAGAAAAGGAGCATCAGTGGTGGTGCAGTGGTTAGAATGCAGTACTGCAGGCTACTTCTGCTGACTGCCGGCTGCCAGCAGTTTGGCAGTTCAATCCTGACCGGCTCAAGGTTGACTCAGCCTTCCATCCTTCCGAGGTTGGTAAAATGAGGACCCAGATTGTTGGGGGCAAGCTGCTGGCTCTGTAAACTGCTTAGAGAGCACTGCAAAGCACTGTGAAGAGGTATATAAATCTAACTGCTATTGCTATCAGTCTGCAGTGAGCTTGCAGTAATGCAGGTGTATTGGGCTTCATAAAATTGTTGTCCTTTATTCAATTAACACAGTTTAGAAACTAAGGGAAATCTCAGTCCTCCCTCAGTCCTCCCTCCCTATCACTGTTGTTTCCTTGACAACAGCAAATGCTAAAAGAACTTTAATTCCTGCTACTGTAAATCTCCCAGATCCCCAATTCCAATTTGTCCTTTTGGTCCCATTAAGTATGACAATCCAGGTTTAACTTTTTAAGGCATTCCAAGAAATGCACACAGTTCAACCCTGGGCAGTCCAGAAGGTGAGTATCACTGATGGACAGTTAAGGAGAGAAAGGTTAAGTTTTGAACTTCACAACGTAGAATCATAGTTAAACTACCCTCTCTCCACCTACTCTTGATCATTATGATCATTAAGTCTAAGATCTAACTGGACTGGTGGGATAACTCTGAGATTTTGTTATCGATGTGTTTGTGGTGCCAGAAAGAAGAGGACCTGGGAAGAATGAGTGAATGCCTGTGAGCCGTTCTCCCCTTCAGCTGACCCACAGAGAAATCTAATCAGCCTCTCTAGGGAGGAATTTCGTTGTCTGCCTCACTGCAGCTTCTGCTGTCAGCACGCTTAATTGAGTTCTTTCATAGTTGGGTCCATGCATCCACCGGCACTAATTATGCAGTGATCAATGCCTCTTGCTAACAGTATTTGATCCATAGCGACTCCTCAGTGGACTAAGAGTCAGTCTGTTTAATGCCTTTTGTGTCAGTCACTCAGATTGAAATGTAAAGATTGTTTTGAAAGGAATTAGAAAGACTTAACCTCTAGCAGACGGGCTGAAACAAAAGGGGTGCTAAAGAGGATACGTTTTCTGTAGGGGTTCATGTTTCCATGAGTATTATAATTAGAGGCAGCCCAGCGGTTCCTTAGGAAAGCTGTTGTGACTTCAGGAATGTCAGTCTATGTCAGGACATGCATCTTTAGTGGAATGGCCAGGATTATTCTTTGAAGTTGAACTATTTTTTTTTTATTTGTTTCCATTTCTATACCGCCCTTCTCCAAATAGGACTCAGGGCGGTGAACAGCCAAAGTAAAAAAGCAGAACATACAAAATTTAAAAACAGTTTAAAATAATTAAATATTTTGGCCGTACATTAAAACAACCCAATTTAAAATCAATTTAAAATTTAACTCAAGCCAGCCCAGCTAGTTGAAATAAATAGGTTTTCACGGCCCGACGAAAAATCCGGAGGTCTGTTATTGTACGTATCTCTGGGGGGAGGTTGTTCCAGAGGGTGGGCGCCGCCACAGAGAAGGCTCTCCCCCTGGGGGTCGCCAGCCGACATTGTCTGGCAGACGGCACCCTGAGGAGGCCCACTCTGTGCGAGCGTACTGGCCGGTGGGAGGCTATTGGTGGCATAAGGCGGTCTCGTAAGTACCCCGGCCCTAAGCCATGGAGCGCTTTAAAGGTGGTCACCAACACCTTGAAGCGCACCTGGAAGACCACCGGAAGCCAGTGCAGCTTGCGCAGGAGAGGTGTCACATGGGAGCGCCTCATCGCCCCCATAATCCCCCGCGTTCCGGACCAGCTGGAGCCTCTGGGTGCACCCCAGGAGGAGCCCCATGTAGAGAACTACCTTCAGTTTCAATCTTAAATCATAATAGAAAGAAGAAGAAAAAATACCCTGGATATAGCTTTCTACAAAGAAGATTGATGTTCATCATACAGGTAGTCCTCAATTTACAACCATTCATTTAGTGACCATTTAAAGTTATAACAGCACTGAAAAAAATCCAACCAGTCCTCAAATTTAGAATTGTTGCAGCATTCCCAGGATCACGTGATTAAAATGCAAGCATGTTATGAACCAAGGTTGGCGCGCAAGGAACATGTGCTAGGTGGAAGCTTAACAACCTTTATTCAATCACTTTCTCCCACAATCCCCACAATTCCTGGTCCGTTCTCCAAAATCTCTGCCCACAGGTTACCCCTACAGTCCAGGAGCAAGGCTCAAATACACACGCCCCTGCACACACTTTCACAGCAGTGAAAGTCCATAGGAGCAGCACCACTCCCGGGGCAAGACAGGACCTCAACAGGAGGTTTGCCAAGTTTGAGGTCAAACTTGGCAAAGTTCACAGCGAATGTCAAGGCAAAGGATCAAATCTCATTCCACACCAGCAAGGATTCTGAAGCAAAGTAATTGTCCGAGTCGTGGAGCATGTTGCTGCGAAATACAACACTTGTTCCCAACAAAAGTCCCTCCCCATGATTTCTCCTTAAATGCTACTCTCTAGGTGATCCTCGGGAGGAGGGGTGGGGTGCCCTCCTCCCAAGTAGTTGGGTCACCCTGCATTCATTCTGCCTCCTCTCCATTCTCCGCACTCAGGGATCAGGTGGGGAAAGCATTTGCTCATCTCTGGAGCTCTGCCCCTCCTCTGCCCCACTGCCTGCCCTTTCCATCTTCTTCCTTGGTCAGCCTGCACACTCTCTTTCTCCTTGCCTACTCTTTCGAAGCCCGAGGGGCCCGGGAATGCCTCATCCTCATCCCCAGGTCATTCCTCATGAGCTATAGGGACTGGGCCCTCCCCCTCTCTCGGACCCAGCTGTCAGCTTTGGAAGCCATATTAGGCCGGGAGCTTCCATGCTGCCACCTTCTCATGTGTGGGAAAGTAGGAGGGGGGATTTAGTAGAGGGGTTGTCTGTAGACATAATAGCATTCTTCCTGTCGGTCAAGGTCAGGGCGATCCTGCATCTGGAGAAGGAGTGGTCGTGCTGTCTCGAGATGGGACAGTGGTTGATTGGAGCATGTGATCGACTGAGGAGTGAGGGGATGGTTTTTGGGGGGGTTTGATTTACTGAGGGAAAACCTGGACCTCTCAGATTCGGGTTTTCCCAGATGTGCCAGTTTACCTATTCTAGTAAAGAGAACTTTGAAAAATGCTTGCTTCAGAGTCTTTACTTGGAGTTGGGTTTTTT